CCCCCCCCCCCCCCCTCAGTTCAATAGTGGGATTGCCTGTTGTTTTTATTTTGTCGGCATGGTAGTTGCAAACCGTGCATCACCCAAGTACACAAGGTACAACCCGTGACCTAGTCTACACCCTACTCAGGAAAGTAAATCTGCAGAAATTTCGTAGAGGAACACGGAAACGAAAGCGACAACCTGATACCGAACGTACCGATACCCCAGATGAAAGCCACATCGTTTGCTATCCTTCTCGTGCAATCGTTAAACTCGATTTCAAACCCCTGACCACTCGTTGCACGGAAAGCTGCTAAGTATAGACTATGCCAGCCTACGGTCTAGCACGGTACGCAAGATGATTTATTTTGTTGTACGCCGATTGGAGCCCTGTGGGCCAAGAAATGGTAGGTGTCGTATATAAGGAAGTACGACACCGGTGTCGTATATAACACTACCGATTTATTTTCGTTGCCGCAGGGGGTCGGCGAGACCGCACCGGGGTGCGACAAAAACACGAAGAAAAACGTAGAAAAATCGATCCCACCTGGCACCGTCTCGACTCTTCCGGTATGTCACGAGGTGCCCCCTATCTTCCTGCCGGGTTCCCCCCCACCATTCCAAGTGCCTGACTGGTGCTGCCGCGTGTTGGGGCTCCATTCATTATTTTTGTATTCACATTGGTATACGACAAAGGCGGTATTGTCGGAACTGAGCACCTGTCGGCCTGTCGGTTCTTGTGGCCAAACTTAGATTTTGGTACATTGACACCTGCTCTATCTATGTAGATAGAACTTGGAAAAATAAGGACATGGCCTCAGTTCGAGGAAAACCATGAGTCTAAGCGTCGAGCCTCGCGCAAAGTAAGCGATTCTTGGCGCGTTCTCTATGTTCATGTCGACCGATTTTGAGAGGAAACCGCAAGAGCACCAGAAAATGCACACGAGACACACAAGACAATCGGAAGGAATTCGAACAAACACAAATCGTTGATCCTCACACTGGGCGGCAGCATACAGTGGAGGCTCCTCAACGTTCTCTACCGACAACAGTACAAAGGTGCAGTTAGAAACGGCGTGAAGGTTGTTGTTTCTTTTTCTGCGTCTAGTTGAGGATGAACAGAGGTGGAGCCAGAGTCAGAGGTTGAGTTCGGTGTTGCGGCTGAAACTGCTGCGTTGATCTCCGTAGATCCCGGACTGTCACGCGTCCTGGTCCCGCCCTTTGATGTGTACCTACGGAAATCGAAACGATATCTCGCAAAGTACTCCGTGCTCCATACATACAGCAGTCCGACGGTGGACTGCTGAGGTGTTATCTTTGTGGGTACCGGCAGGAAGCATGACCAGCGTAACGATCGCTTCAGAATCTTCCTTCGATTCGGACTACTGCTGGGACGTCGATGAACTGGTTTGTCCGCGGCAACTTCTTGAGTGTCTCGCAACTCGCACCAAACATCCATACAATTGTAGAAGTACTTGTGGTGGGTACTCGCGGGGCGGCTTTAGGTAGAAGACAAGAACGCGGCCTAACTGACCTGTGCTACTGGAATAAACAACGGTGTGTTTGCTCTCGGAACCCACCTCCACCCCTCCCTGTCTAAACTCCGCCGGAGAAGGAGCCGTGACCGCAAGAAGGGTGTTGAATACTACACTAGTCTAGTCTAGATGCTGTACCTAGTATTCTACGGCAGTGTGTGTGGCCCTGTATGCTCTCAAGTGCGTGGTGGACACTTGATTGCTGCCGACAGGTAGACGAGAATGGAGAGAGCAGTGATGAGGATGCAGAGCAACCACCCCTGGTCAACGCCGATGCGCGGACGTCAGATGGTGAAGAACGGCAGCAGCAGCAGCTGTCAGCGGGGGTTTCGGAGTCTGCACCACTGACAGTTCGCGTCAAAGTGGAATCGAAATCCCACACGGAAGGCCGGGAACAAGTTCCACGCAAAAGAATCGCGATGCTATGGGCGAAGCTGAGGGCAATCGCGTATATCAGCAGCTTGGAGGTTAGGGTCGTTCGGATAAAAATCCCAAGAGACGGCCACGACACAAAAAAAAAATGATCAGCAGTAGTCTAGACTTACATGTTACCCACAGTACGGCTGTACCGTATGTTGTCTGATCTTGGTACATTCTGTAGACCATCCACCTGTGCTATGCACGAATTTCCCTCTTCCAAGGGTCTTAGTGAAAAAAGTTTTGATACACGTATCTAGACCTACTGATCAAAAATCGGGGTCCGTCCGTGGGGTGGGGGAGGGGCTGATTTGGGGGAGGGGGGGCTCTAATTTATTCTTCTAAGGGGCACCGTGGATAGAAATACTTCTGCAGTATGGAGGTCGATTACTTATTTTCGTGAAGAGAGCCTCCTGTATGAATTCCTATATAATAGAGAAATCGAAATTGCCCTCCTGCGGGTGGCCCATGTGTCCCGATTCTTTTTTCACGTAGACCCTACACATTCGTTTCGCGTGGAACAGGCGTACTCGCAGGAGCGGCAGAAAGCTTATAACTTGTTGACCATGGAGTTTGTCGTGGCATCGGAGTATGACAGGGAAGCGGAGAAGCCCGTGACTAGAAAAGGCGAAGACCAAAATCACCCAGCTTGGCTTCAAGGCGACATGGACATGTACTCGTCTGCCAACCAGAAAAAAAGAAAGAGATTAAAACGTGCCCCGGCCGTGCAGGTATGGTGACGCCCGTCTTTCATCGACTTTATGTACGGAGTCGAAACCAAGCGGTGGCGTTTGCTTTGGCCAATATTCAGCTGACAAAAGGTGGTCCACGACATGTGGACTACATACTTTCGACTCATAGCGAGACCGCCATATTTTCATGCACGTTGCCGCTACTACTTACTGGAAGTATCACACTACTGTTAGGATAAACCTAAACCTATGCACTGTAGTGCTATAGGAAGAGTCTTTGTACCGTTCTTCGCATGTCGTATGATCAACCAGGAGAAGATCAAGACCCTATGGAGCTTGGCGACTTCCAATGGGGAGGGGTGCGACGTTGAAGCCTCTCTATCAAAGGAAACTTTCCTGTCAATCATGGTGGGGGCCAGAAACCCTTGAGGGGGGCGACCCAGCTGTAGTCTGTTTGCGGTACTCTACAAAACTGTATTGTAGTAGAAACACAACTTCGTCTCTGTTCACCTTTGTTGCGCCACTGTTTGCACAACTGATGGTGCACAGTAGCGACTTTCCTCGTTCGACGTTCATCAAACGGACCGTGGTATCGACCCATGCGTCCTACGAAGATGATCGCGTCGCTCTAGCCTATCAGTGTAGAAACATCTATCTACCATGCATGGTATGAAAGCTAGCATGTTCCATGTACGAGTTCTTCTGCTCCCTGCTCCTGTTCTTCCTCCCCATGCGCTCCGTGCCTCCTCGTTGTGCTTGCCGACATTGCAAGGCCTCTCCTACAACGAAAATACGGATTGGCACAGGCTCACTAGTATTGCTCTGCAAGAAGAGTGAACCGAAACAAGCACATACGCCAGTTCCACCCTTGTTCCTCGTGATGACTGCACGACTCTCGCGGTGTGACAGGTAAAAATCCACGTGTTAATAATATTTCCGCCAGTAGATTTGTCGTGGGCAATGACGAACGCTCTGAAGGACTGGGAGAAAGACAATGCGGGACTGGATACGATGAACCTTGACAGGTATCGCAATATTGATTTCGAGTTGGAATTCGTAGCACATAACGCGCTTATGTGATGGGAAAAGACAGCACACTGCAGCTCAAGATGTATTCGCAACTTGTTTAGGTGTGAGTTTTGATGACAATATGTGGCCCTTAGCGCGTTGTGGAGTTAAATGGCGCTCTCCTTCGTGAAAATTCGGCTCAATGAAGACTGTATCATGCATCTTCACCCGTAGGTTCGCCACCACGAGAACCACTCCAACCCCACTTCGTCATGCCCATGGGGATGTGCTTTTGGGTGAAACACAGTGCCGGATACACATGTGACTAAGACAAACGCACACAATGAATTTTTGAATTAAATAGCTCGCTCGGCGCTTGGATGGTTGCACTTGTTTATCGCCTCGGCAAGGTTTATCGA